TTGATGTCTAAAAAGCTTCTCTTATTTTCACCTAATATTGTCATTCTTATCAATGACCATGACAATACAGCATTTTATAATTCTTAAAACTTCTAGTCTAGTCTGATATTTCAATATTAATTGATGTGAAGAACCCAATTTTGATTGTTTACATTATTCTATTCTTAAATCTCAGGTTGTCTTTGAAAAAATTTTGGATCTGGTTACTATTTATATCAAAATAGTCTTTTTCATGAACTTCTATTTACATGGAATTCAATCAAGGAAAATGTCAAATAGCCAGATCCACTTCTGCTAAATACTGTATAATTGATGGTTATTATAATTTTTTGTGCAGTGGCAAGATCATAGCCAGTGAGGTTTATCCGAGGCATGATTATTGCTAATTGTTATAATTCTAAAATTTTGTAAATACATTTTTTATCATAAAAAAAAAAGAATGTCATCTCTTTTAAGCCATTTGAAAACAACTTGTCTTCATGATAAGGCAATTTATTCCTTAAAGATTTTATGTATAAACTACTTTTTAAAATCCTCTCTATTTTGTGATTTAAGTGAAAGCTAGGTTATTAGTTAAACCGAAGAATTGAAAGATTAGAGTTGATTTGGATGTCTCTTCTTCTGAAACATGGAATAATATTACTAATTTTGGTTAACTCTACTTACTACCATGTAAGATTAATCAATTTTAGTTGATTGGATTAAAATGAATTTAATTTTATTTGGTTTTATGTGAAGGGAATTGCCATTTTGTTTTTCTACCTTTTATTAGCTCCAACCACCGTGAATGTAACACATCATCCAGTAACTCAGGTTACCACAAGACTCCCTGTACCAAGAGCACCTGCAAACCACCAAGTTGTTTATACAACTCTCCCAGCACCACCAGCACAGGCTCCCCTTCGAGGAACTGTTATGCAGGCTCCTGCTGTTCGGCAAGTCAATCCTCAAAATAGTAAGAGATCTTTTCTTGTAATATAGCTTCCAGTTATAGATTACCTCTGCTTTCACTTATGCTGGTTTATATTTAAATTGTTGTGTTTGCTGTTGTGTACTGTCAAGTAGCTGACCCTCTAATGAGTTTCAGTAAATTGCACAAGAGGGAGATGGCTCATCTTTCTCCCATGGAGCAGCTGGTGGATTCAAGCCTTTGGGTTGACACTGAACTTTCCTAGAAAATACTGCTTTCGAATATTACCATAAAGCATTTTGCAATTCATTTTTTTCCTTTAGAGCAAAGCAGAGGAAGTTAGATATTTTGTGCTGTGTATGTAGTCTTCAGACACACTGTTTATGACATTGTATCTACTATCACACTAGTGCCCTGTTTGTTTATCCTAAAATTGTGTTGCTTCATACTTATATGAAGAGCCATTCCACTTAATAAAAGTAGGAATGATCAAATAGGACTTTATCCAAATAACATAAATAATGCTAACATTTTAGCCTCTAGTAAGAAGTCTTGGCACAGGTCAGGAACATGGATGAAACTAACAATAGAAAATATTAAAGGAGAGTTTTGTTTTCTTTAGTAGTAAAATGTAAAAACTAGTTTTTTATGAAAGGTATGTTTTAGCTCTAACGAATGACTCTTAAATGTATTCTCTTTGAGGGTAAGAAATAGAACTTGATTATCTGTATTTTACAAGCATCCTTTATGATGATGATGTATGCTGTCGAGTCATCTGTGACATAGTGACCCTATGTACAACAGCTCTGAGCACTTCCTCTTACCTTGAGGCAATGTCATTATCTCTGACACTGAGACATTTCCCAAGTCACTGAGTCAGTCATCTTAATCCAGGGTCTTCCTCTCTTGCACTGTCCCTCTACCTTAAGCATGATGTCCCCCTCTAAGGACTGCTCCCTTCTGGCAACATGCCCAAGGTATGTCAGACAGAACTTTAAAATCCTTGCCTCCAAAGAGCATCCTGATA